TTTACCACGAAAGTCATTCATCTCTTACAGAGGTTGGAGCAGTACCTGAAAGGAAAAAACTTGCATTTGGTGTTCCTTGACTTAGAAAAAACTTGCATTTGGTGTTCCTTGACTTAGAAAAGACGTAAAACAAAGTATTGAGAGAGGTTCTATGGAGATGCCCAAAGTATTGAGGAGTATCTGTGCATACATTAGAGCAATTAAGGACATGTACAATGGATCCAAGACCCGAGTAAGAATGGTTGGAGACTTCCTAGTTGAGATGGGGTTGCTCCAAGGATTAACTATTAGCCCGCTTTTATTTTCCTCGGTAACGAGTGAATTGACACAACATATTCAAAGGGAAGAACCATGGTGTATGTTATTTGTAGATGACATAGTATTGATTGATGAGTCACTCGAAAGCGTTAATGATAGATTGTAGGATTGGTGACAAACTCTAGAGTCTAAAGGTTTCAGGTTGAGCAGGACTAAAACAGAGTACATGGAGTGCTAGATTAGTGATGCATCACTTGAGGATGTGTGGACATACTAGAAGAGATAATAAGATGAGAGTGGCTTCTATGGTGGACAAGATGAGGGATCGAAGCTGAGATGGTTCGGGTATGCAAAGAGGAGCACAAATGCCCCAAGGAGGAGGCACGAAAGATTGACAATGACAGTTTTAAGGAGAGGTAGAGGTAGGCCGAAGAAGAATAGGGGAGAGATGATTAAACATGACATGACACAACTTCAGCCCACTAAGGAAATGACATCAAATAGGAGAGCGTAAAGGTCGAAGATTAGGGTAGAAGGTTAGTAGGTAGTTGAGCGTTTCTCTCTCCTTTTTGTGGGCGAGTTTGGCTCTGGTTTAGAACACTTTATTTGCTTTCCTTTTCCCTTAACAATCTCACTACTATTGTGTAGTATAATCGTATTCCTTAATTTTACTACTATTGTTCCTTTTACTTTGATTATCTATGCTATTTTGCTGTCAAAACTTTTCTCCTCTTTCCACTTGAGCCGAGGGTCTTTTGGAAACAACTTCTCTACCTCAATGAGATAGAGATAAGGTGTGGTTACACTTTACCCTACCAAACCCCACTTTGTGGGATTTCATGTTGTTGTTCAGTTTTTTCGGCTTCAATGTTTTCATCATAGTTTTCTCTTGTATTTTTCAAACATGTTTCGAAAACGATTTTATCGAGCTGAGGGTCTTATTAGAAACCACCTCTCTACCTTACCGAAGGTAGGGGTAAGGTCTGTGTACACCACCCTCTCTGGATACCGCTTATGGGATCACACTGGGTACGTTGTTGTTGTACATTTTTTGGTTTAATTTTACAACTTGTGCAGTCTACTTTTACCTTTTTATATGAAATTGTTTCCCTTTTTTTGATTCTGTTAAAAAAAGAACATAACATAACCCAGGTGTCATTATGCTGATGCGTGACTTTTCCCTGATTCTAAGGTTTGTTGGAGTCTTTCTGTTCATGTAGTGTGAGCATTCCTTGAGTTGGAAAATTGAACACTAATATCAAAAGGCTTCCTAAAATCGGGGAAATTGAAAATTCTATTTGAATAATTAATATGCTACTCCTTTTCTTGCTATTTTCGCAATCTAACCATTCCTGTGATAACTCTTGTTTAAATGAAATCGTGCTGAACTGCCTATTCTTTACGTAGGTTTGGAAAAAGTTCACTCAATTTGAGCAAACATATGGAGACCTTGCCAGCATGTTGAAGGTATTTTGTGTTTTTGCTGCTGATGTATATACTCTTGGTTTTTATATTGAACTTTGTGGGCTATTTTCAAGTCCAAATACAAATTAAACTTGTTCTTTTTGAACTATTGGCATATCTCGAATAGCATATCTTCTGGATTGCATTGCTTTTGCATTTAACAAGTATTGGTTACAGTTGACCTACTATTCAGAGTTGCATATGCTTTTTTTCCAGACATGCCTATTGTTCTGTTTGTCCAATTCTGTGGACTTCCTAAATAAAAGAATACTCATTATATTCACTAATTTCAATTAGTCAATTTCATTAAGCAATTTAACTTTGTTCACAATGTGATTTTCTTGTACCAACCAACATAAGATTGTTGATAACTACTTGATTACTTTCTTTCCCCAGACCCCACTGTGTGGGGGACTACACTGGGGATGTTGTTGTTGTTGATTACTTTCTTGTCCATTAAAATAATATATGCAATGAAATGAACTTAGAATCAGATCCAATCGAACTTCTAATTAAAAGTGGATAGGGAAATTAAATTCAGATATTATCCTTCTTTGGAGGGCGTAATATTTAATACAATGATTACATTTGCTTTGTGCTTATTGCTTGTATTGACAGGTTGAGCAGAGAAGGAAAGAAGCTCTTTCCAGAACAGGTGATGATGGAGCATCAGAGTTGGAGAGTTCGTTGCATGATGTTGTATCACGCTACAGTTTCATGGATCTTTGGCCTTGCTCTTCAAATGACTTGGATCATTTAGCACGCCAAGAGGTTGTCAGCACACACGCACACACACACGTATTCAATTATTGTTACAAGGGCACAAGTATCGTTTCCAAACATTATCTTAACTTGCATGTACTTTTTGCCTATTTGCGACCTGCTTTTCAGTGGCTCGCGAGGAACATCAATAAAAAACCTGACAAACCTACTCTTGGTATTGAGGCAGGTTCTGCAGGTATTATTGTTGTTTAATACTGAATTAAACTCAGTTTCTGAATTGTACTCTCTAACTCCTGGTTTCTTGAGCTTAGACAAGACTACTTCTGGTGTTTCATCCAATACAAATCCTCCTGCCAAGGTAGTGTATCCAGATACTTCAAAAATGACGGTTTATGACCCGAGGCAAATTCCAGGTAGGTCTTTGTAGCTCCTTATTCTATTGTCGGTTCTTGCTTAACAAGCTCCCAAACAGATAAACAGTTGTTCTATGTCCCTTCAACAGATGTTTGTCTCTGAGAGTTTGAGGTGCGATTTACAAACTTAGGAATGAATAATAGAATGTGTTTTGATTTCTTATTCATTAAATTATCCTTCATGATGTTATCAACTTATTCTAATTTTCTAAATAAACATAGTTCCTAACCTTTTCAAATAAATAATGATGGACATTTGGAGGCAATTGTAGATCCTGGAAGGCAATTCTGATTGGTTAACATTTCAATGTTAGCTATCAACAGCCTGTCTCATTAATTGACTCCTGACATATATGAAGGAGTGTGGTTCAAGGGGCTATAGTTGGAAATGCCATTATTTCTAGTAGAGAAGTTACAATAACAATTTCAACTTCATGTTGGTCCTTTTAGGACGAAGTATGTATTTGACAAAATATAAAAGAAGCCTCCCTTAATCATTAAGTGAATAAAAGGGAACAACATGAAATTGGACCTCATAAAGTTCTATTCCCATGGGAAAAATCTACTTTATGATGCGTATTTGACAAAATATAAAAGAAGTTTCCCTCTATCATTCTAGTCTTCATAGGGCAATTGCATTTCTTTCCCGGTGCCAAATAAATTACTTACTTCAATTGGGGATTTGTTAATTTTCAAAAGAGTTGCACATGATTGATATTTCAATCACACCTTCAGATCACTATTCTTGAACACAGAAATAATCGAGGACAGCAAGGTAAATCCAATTTGACAGTTATGTGGATTATTTCTTGGGCTAGCAAAGAGAGGAAGATGGGTTGAGAAAGAGAAACACAAATTTAACCTAGTCAGGACGACGGGCAGCTGATGGTGGGGTTAGATCATGTTGGAAACCAAGGGTTGGCTCTCTACTTGAACTTAGGCCATGGAGAACAGCAAGTTGAGCTGAGGCTGAAATGATAAACTCAAAGTATATACATAATGGTTTTGTTATTTGAGTGTCTTACTGGCATGACATAGATCCTTGGGGGTTTAAGTGCTAATATTTTATGAATTTATGCCTTGTGCTGGTGTTCATCTTTCTGTTTGAGACGGATGTTAGCTAGGGTAATACATGAGGAGTGTTGCAGATCATCAAAGGGTGCAAGAAATCACAAGAGGATAGCTCTCCTGGTGCACCCGTGAAGTTCCTATTTGAATTGAGGGATGGGCGTCTTTTGTAGAAAACCATTTAGTTTTATAGGTTCTCTTGTTTTGGTATGCCTCTTGTATATGTGAATTTTTTCCCATTATTAATGAATATATTGCTAGATTAAAAAAAGTTGGTGTGCTTGTGACTAGAAGCCTCATATGCTTTCTAGCTTCACCGTGGCAACGGAACTTCCAGTCCATTTAGAGAAATTAAACAAATGGGGATACATGTGTACAACATTATCAACTTCTTACTCAGAAGAGAGAAAGGCATCAGCATATAAGCTTCACTCTTTTGGAAGGAATTAGATTATCACGTACAGTTGTATCCATAATTATTTTTAGGATGTTTTGCACTCTGATAGTAACTAAAGGCACCTGCCTATAGTTATATCTCCATAGTCTCCTAGTTGACGAATGGTATTGTTTGTTCATTGATTACATTGAACTTTACTTTGGACTTGATTTTCAATCACCGAATCAGCAAGTTTTTGTGAGATGGGCCATGAAAAGGAGATGGTTGTAGTGACCTCTTGTTTTCTTGAGTTACTGAACTTGGGGGTTGCTCCGCTGGACTTTGATGGCAAGGATGAGATCAGTTGTAAGTTCATCAACGGCTTTGTAAATACTCAACCAATGGAGCAACAGTGGAAGATCCATTAATCATCGAAGACGAAATTCTGGCCTTCTACCAAATGTTATATAATGAATCTAAATTGGAGACCTGAGTTTACCTCCAGGATTGTCACAAACTTAATGAAGAGGTGATGCAGTGGTTATAGAGATCTTTTGATGAGCAAGAGGTTTTGGAAGGTTGTTGAGGCATATGCATCAAACCTTAGTTGCGCGGACTCTTCACTTTTGATGCCGCACCCGTCTCGGATTCTCCAAAAATACACTACTTTTGGCGAATCCGACACGCATCCGTTGGCATTTTTGAAGAGTCCGAGCAACATAGCATCAGACAAAGCTCCAGGTCTAGATGGGTATACCATAGGGGTTTTCCTCACTTGCTGGGACATTGTAAAGTAGGATATAATGCAAACATTGAAGAACTCTCAGTTTCAGCAATACTTTGAGAGGAGCTTTAATGCAACCGATGTTTCTCTAATTCTTAGAAAGGCTGGGGACATGAAATTTAGAGACTTCAAACCTATAAGCTTGTCACAAACTTAATGAAGAGGCGATGCAGTGGTTATAGAGATCTTTTGATGAGCAAGAGGTTTTGGAAGGTGTTGAGGCATATGCATCAAACCTTAGTTGCGCGGACTCTTCACTTTTGATGCCGCACCCGTCTCGGATCCAGGTCTAGATGGGTATACCATAGGGGTTTTCCTCACTTGCTGGGACATTGTAAAGTAGGATATAATGCAAACATTGAAGAACTCTCAGTTTCAGCAATACTTTGAGAGGAGCTTTAATGCAACTGATGTTTCTCTAATTCTTAGAAAGGCTGCGGACATGAAATTTAGAGACTTCAAACCTATAAGCTTGTCACAAACTTAATGAAGAGGTGATGCAGTGATTTAGAGATCTTTGGATGAGCAAGAGGTTTTGGAAGGTGTTGAGGCATATGCATCAGACAAAGCTCCAGGTTTAGATGGGTATACCATAGGGGTTTTCCTCACTTGCTGGGACATTGTAAAGTAGGATATAATGCAAACATTGAAGAACTCTCAGTTTCAGAAATACTTTGAGAGGAGCTTTTAATGCAACCGATGTTTCTCTATTTCTCAAGTGCTGATTGAGAGGGTAGAAAGGTGATACACAAATTGGTTTACAAAACAATAAATGTCATTTTGGGTCGAAAGGTGATACACAAACATAGAAAGGTACTTGAGGGTGTGAAGTGAGTTGTTTACCAACCAATTATCTAGGAATGTCTTTGGGATCAACGAACAAGTCGCAACTGGCATCAGCTGAGAATAGATGTTTTAAGGAGGAAATTTATATGGCACGGTAACAGAGAAAAGAAAGGTTTTCATTTGGTTAAGTAGAAGACTCGCACCATCAACAATACAGAAGGGGGTTTAAGCATAAGAAATTTCAAGCATAACTATAATAGCCTATTCATGAAATGGCTCTGAAGGTTCAACTTGGAGAAATAGGCTCTATGGAGATGGGTTGTCAATGAAAACTATGGGAAAGAGGGACAATGGTGCTCTTAAAGTGGTATCTACACCCTATGGTGTTAGTGTCTGAAAATCTGTTAAGAGCACTATGGCCTACCTTAATCAATATGTGAAAGTGGGGAATGGGATGTAGACTTCCGTCTGGAGTGATAACTGGATTGGACATGGACCTCTCAAGGATATTTCCCTGATAAATACAATCTGGTCAACAACAGAATGCAATAGTAGCTGAGATTTGGAGTCAATAGGGCTGGAATCTAAGCTTCAGAATGACTGGGAGATCAACATGCCTGCTGTTTCTTTTCAAAACATTGGAGCATTTTCCATGGTAGCACAAATCAAGAAGACAGATAGTTATGGCTAAAACACAGCAATTGTATCTACACTGTGAAATTTGCGCACACATTTGAATGACAATGGCAGCAGGCTGGGTTGTGGCACTGGAAATACATCTGGAAGGTGAAAATACCCTGCAAAGAAGCATGCTTTGTTTGGCTGGAAAGTAGCATGCCTTATTTGGCTGGCTGGTAAGGATGCTTGTTTGATACAAGAAAATCTGAAGAAAGTCAAGCATGCTTGTCGGGTATACTTATGTTAGACAAACCTCTGAAGAAAGTCTTGAAAAGTCAGAACAAGGTTTGTCGGGTATACTTATGTTAGGCAAGCTTTTGCCTCTCAAAGTCTAGCACGTTTCATTTTCTTTTGAAATAAGAGGCCCGCTATCCCTCTCTGCAGTGCTTGGAGCCGTGGTAATTACTTGCAGGTACGACGTAAAATACATGCATGCGGATTGTGTGGTCTGCATGATATGAAAGAGAGATCCCTCGATGCCTAGGCAGTGAAGTGCCTTCAGATGTAGGGCTCTTTTGATTGTTTTAAGCCAACCATGGGAGGCTGCATTGTGCTGCAGTAATAAGTGAGTTTCCTCCTTGCCAGAGTTCTCTTCTTAGAGAAAAACAGCTTTGTGATTATTGGATGACACTAAATAATGCATGGACTCTTGCATATACTGGGATTGGGGCTTTGTGAGTTACTCCCTGGTACATGAATATGCATCACTTTGAATGGGAGAGACCAATCTTTGTTTCTAGAATAAAAGAACACATAAACTATGGGTAGTCCAAATGATGAAATTCGTAAAAAAAATTGCCTTCTCGATTCATTTCTGTTCTCCACATCAGCTAGTTGTAAACTTGTATGCTGTCAAGTAATTAAATTAAATTGATTGCCAAAAAAATTAAAAATTGTGAATACAAGAAGTTTAAAGTGCTTATGGTTATTTTCTTCTTTGGTGTGTGTTTCATAGGAAGGAAATTGTTTTCCATGGAAAATATTTTCTTGGAAAAAGTTCTCCAGGAAAATAAGTGATGTTTCTACTTATTTTCTGGTGTTTGATAAGTAAACAAAAAATATTGACTCAAAAACATTTCTATAATCTGAGGAGACGATTAATGTGGAATGGAACTCATGCAACGTGTTTTTCCTACTTCCACGAGGGAAGACATTTTTCTCATTTTTAATGAATTATTTTCCTAGAGAGGATGTTTCCCAAAGATTTGACCAACCAAATCGGAAACATTTTCTACCCCACATCCTTGGATTCATATAATAATGATTAAACACTAATGGACACTTATTTCAATGAGGTCCTCTAGATTCAGACTAAACTATATACAGATCCGAAAAGTAGGGTATAGTAGACAACTTTTCGTCAATTTCAGTGAGAACCATGCGGATTTTTATTAAGAACTCTATATTCTTGTAATGTGGGCATCTGTTATATGAGGAACTATCAGCTTACGTTTGTTGGATGATGCTGAATTTTCCAGGTCCTGCTGCGCTTGCAGCTCCATCTGCTTCAGGCACCTTGCCCTATTCTGGTCCATTTAGCAGCAATGGACCTCCAAATGCCCTTAATGATATTTTGAAATCGTTACCCCCTGCATTTGCAGCGTTCATAGCAAATTTGCCAGCTGTTGAAGGTATAGTTCTGAATATTCTCTTTCTATCAAATTTTCCAGTCACTTACCCTGTGAAATCTTGGTCCTTCGTAAAAATTTATAAGTCGCTCTAGTCTGTTGTTAGCTTTTGTTTTTTTAGTCAGATTACTCCTTTACATTTGCATGTCAATGGTGGTCTACCAATAGAAGAAGGTGAAACACCTTTCCTGGAAAGACTCTAGAGTTGCCTTTTTTAATGTAGGTATGACCATTGTGTGTCTTAATATAATTCTTTTCTTCCATTCAACTTCCTAGATGTGATATCTGCTTCTAGGTTTGTTTGGTCCAATACAGTAGGTTATCAATTGAATCTGCTGCGGGTAGGCATACATCTAGATAGGAGCTTTTTTTCACTTAGTGATCATGTGAATGTTATCAAGTATTTTTTTTATGACAAGAGAAACCCGCAGCCGCTACTCTTTGGGTGCGCACAGGGTAAAACCCCTGCTCCTATGCAATAGCTCGCAAACCACACAAGAGAGGTAACCCACACTAGGCAAGCCCGGTGCGACGAGCTCGACCCAGAAGGCAAACCCCTTGCTTTCGCTGGCAAGGGGTTTCAAACTTGAGACCTCCAACATGGAAGTCCCAAGCCCAAACCAATTTGTACCACAAGTTTAAGTGAAAATCAGCAGTCAAATGAAATAACAACATACCATCTGAAAATGATTGGATGGGAGCTAAGTTGGTTGCAGAAGGTGATCTTAGTGTTGATGTTCTAACAAGGAGATTATACCTAAAACTTTTGAAGGACAGTAAGAGGTTAAGCAAGAGCTAATTTGATTTTTAGACAGTCATCTATTTGTACCTAGGCTTTTAGATGAATCCGAGAAGCTGCTGTAGGGAATTTACAACTTGGGTGGATTCTATTAAAGGGTGCTTTTTACAGAATAACTGACATTGCTATCCTACAATACTTTCTATATATTAATTTTCACAGACAGCAATTTAACTATCCTGGAGGATAAGGCTGCCAATTGCTTCCTCTATCGGAAGTATAGGTTGCTCCGTAATAACTTGAGTTTTCTCGGCATCTTATCAGGTCCTTCTCCTGATGCTGATTTTGTGATATCTGTATGTTTGCAAAGCAACATCCCTGCAGCAACTGGAAAATCCGGGACTGCCTCTCTGCCTTTGCAGTCAGGCGCTGCTCCATCTACGAGTGACCTCTCTGATTCAAGCAAATTCAGGCCGAGAGACAGACAGCCGGGAAAGAGGAAAGACATGGACAGTATGTGAACCTTTACCTATGAGATGTTTATGTTCTTCTTGCTCATGCCACACCCAACGATATGTCTCTTCACTGCCTCACTGTTGCATCCAATCATAATCTGTTTTACCTTCACTCTTGGCATGTAGGCTTGTCCTATGATTTCATTCCTGCAATGCAGGAACTACTCATTCCCTACTACTACTGTATTTCGAAGTCTGCAATATCTATGCCTTGGCATCTTGATGCTAAATATGTGTCCTTGTTTATATCATTCAAAGGCCTAGTTAACTTGTTGCAGGACAAGAGGATGATGAATCAACGACTATACAAAGCCAGCCCCTTCCTAGAGATCTTTTCAAGATTCGCCAATTACAAAAAAACCGTGTTGGTAATTCGTCTCGAGTTACTAGTTCATACACAGGATCAGCATCATACGGAAGTGCGCTTTCAGGAGATCTCTCGGGCAGCACTAGTTGACCTCAGACTTGTTTCTTAGTTTTCAACTGAGCAGCAGACCTGACGCGACTGACAGAAGAGCCGACATACATTCCAAACTCTGCCATTTGCGTCTGGTCATTCTGTAGTGTACTCTATTTTGCAAAGATGTAATATTAACATTTACATGTCATTATAATTAATTTTATTTTTCGGATGTTCCTTTTATAAAGAACAGAACCCTGTTCAAGAAAGCTATACATGCAACGATCAATGTTGTTTGGCATGATAAGTGAAAGTCGTGGACTATTTCCCAAGTCAGAAGGTCGCCCTCTAGCCCAACAATGGAGCTAGGTGTATACAACTCGACATTTCTTTCGATAGTGAGATGTCACTTTTCATATAAATTATATCATGTAGAGTAACTGGCTGAGAGTGATGACAAGAAAATGTTCTGGTGGCTTACTTTTTCTATGGTCTAGCTAACAATGAGAATTTTGTTTGATAATGTGCTGGGAAGTATTGGTTTTTAGAATTATATTATTATATTGCATTGTATTTGAGGAGTTCTTAATTCTTATTGAAGTTGGATTTTGTGACTACTAGTGAGAAGCATTTGATATTGTACTAGTTAGTAGTTACGATCTTGGTGCAATTATTTTTGCAGGAATGTATCAATGTCTTAAAAGAAGAGAAAATTTGAAAGTAGAATGTAAAACAAAAGTTCTACTAATTAAAAGAGAAGCAATTTCTCTAAGGGAAGAAGACCTTGCCTACCTTTCTTTTCGAGCCATCAATAACTGCCAACGGGTCCGACTATCCTTTTACTGGTTGATTAGTTATGAAAGACTCTGCATACAGAAGCTTGAATATCATTAAGAATATCTTAACATTTTGCATTATTTTTGTTGGGATATGTTATGAGATCATTTTATCCCACTTATATTGGATAGTAATTTCATAAATTTAGTACAAATATGGGATAATACAATTTCATGATTAGGTAATACCTCAAACTAACTGACATAATGTTAATTTTAAATTGTTAAATGACCCTTATTACTTCAAAAGCCAAAAAAGAGAAGAGAATGCAATACTTCTCATACAAAGCATAGGTTTCTACTCCTGTTTCATTGTGTGACCTATTTCATTTTCTTACATTTTCTAAGATCATTAATGAAAAAAATAGTTATATTTTAGCTTGAAAAAGTTTATTCAAAATACTCTCTCTCTCTCTCTCTCTCTATATATATA